ATTTTTAATGTTACCAAAACAGCAACTACGAATACTATGTTGCGAGGATACTATAAAAGAGGAATTGAAACCCGATATCGATGTCGACGTATTTTATCGACAGTCTTGTCACTATACGTGACGTTAAAATGTGGCACGAATCGCGCGACGTATAAAAACAACTTTCAATTGCCCTTATGATTACTCTGACAATTCGCATTGTAGCATCGTTCGACGAACGACGGGTTCGAGAGTTCTGTTCACCGCCGAGTCACTCGTTTGCACCAACCGCGCGAGGTCTCGACTCTTTTCGCGTTCAGATTGCTCGCTGATGATCGCGTAACGAGCGGCTCGCTGTCAACTTGTCGAGATCCGCCTCGCCTCGGGGACCAGTCTGGGACTGTTCGATCAGCAAGCACGCGGAAGTCGGCCGCGGGGTGCGACAGGGGGCCGAGGAGACCGCGGGCGGTACCTTTACCCGAACACGCGAGGAGTTACGGTAACAGACAGAGAGGAATGGGAACGGTGATTCTCATAATTAATAACGCGGACGGCTCCCACGAACCATAGAAGAAGGTTAGAGGCGTCCCTGACTGGTTCGGCTAATAGTAGCAGGGTCACGCAACTTTTACCGAGTCGCAGCTACCTTGCAATTTGCATAGCGTCGTTCTAGCAGCGCTCACTGTCTTCACGGTGATCCTTGATCTCTCGACGAACCCGTTCGCGCCCATAAACTGAAACGCGTGGATCACGAACTGCTGCTCCCGCATTTGGTCCCATTCTCTTTACATCGGATGCACCTCGTTTCAGTCCTGTTGAACCTTCCTTAGTTATAAGTCGTAAAATTGTTTTTCTTTCAGACAGAAATGAAGTATCTTCTTACATACGTATGAAATAGTTTAAGCAAAAGTCATTTACGACGTATTGCGCATTCCAGCTAGTACAGCGTAATTCCTCTTTACGACTCGTTCTGTAATTGCGTGAGTTCGCGTACCCCTCGGAACTGGAATACTTCTGATCCGAGTATTTATTGATTTTCTTATATTTATGAACCTGAATTATGGCAGAACGATCACTGGATATAAAATTATGATTGCTGTTTCTCAATTCATTTAGTTTTTGGGAGCAATTAGTGGTTGTTCAGTAGTTGCCAAATAATTGGTACGAAAATTTCTCATCTAATGTGGGAAGCGATCGAACGGGTTCCCAAGGACATTTTCTAGCAAAGCAGGACATCCTGTTACCGCGCGTGGGATCCCAGATAACCCACAAAAGCCGGCCTGTCAATTATCGTGGCTTTCAGTCGAATCCTCTCGTCGCCGTTGTCCTCGCCGAGAGGATGAAGCATCGCGTCGACGGGTCAGTCTCTCTGCCTTTTAGGAGAGGCGGACAGGTCCGTTAGTCATTGCTCGATCGGCACGATACTCATTCAGGACTATTACCATGTCGGAAGTGAGCAAAGAGAGACTCGGTGCTCGACGTGTCACCGTGCTCAGCTGTTCGACCACGCGCGTACATACTTTGTATCACGTATCACCGTTAGGTATATACTACCTCGCGTACTTATGCACATACGCCGCGATAACGCACGGGGGAAAAACGCGAAGCACCGCGCGGTGAATGCGTACGGTCAAAGGAAACTTCGATTGACCCTTCGAACGGCCGCCGGCCGTACGCCTCTGGCGCGAACGTCGTCAACGCGGAAGGTAACTGTATTCGAAACGGACAAAATCGCTTCATGCATTTCCTGCAACCCGAATCATTAAGGTCCGGCTTTTATTCAATCTTCGATTCGGCACTCTGTCAGAGTTAACGCGTCATCCGAGGTACGCTGTGTATGCGTCATCGTCTGTCCATTATTTCAGCAAGCAATTTCCTCGTCGATTCTCACGCAATTGCGATGATCGATGAAATTAACAGGCGAAGTATCAAGTATCTTTCTCATGTTTCAACCGACGTATTTTAATTACGTCGCGTTATACTAAATCGGAGACAGAGAGTTTATGGTACCGGTACTCGATGGTGGAGCCGAACTTGAACTCGAAGTAAGACCCAATGATCTCAATCTCACGGCCCGCAACGTGGTTAGGGCTAAAGTCTTTAAGCCAGTCGCGCAGGTATCAATGGCTATAACTGGGACACGAGATTCGCGATGGAAACTTCGCCCACGGTACTCAAGAGGGGATCTACCTAAGAACGGTCTGTTCCCAGGTGAAGGTAATCATATTCCGCGTTCCACGGTAATGGCGAACGAACGCAGCCTCCGGGCTTCTAACGGAATCTCCGGCACCCAGCACCCCATTTCATCTCGGCCCCGTGGGTGCATCTATGCCATATACACTGCGCCTGCACCTTATACCCTAGCCAGCCCGACCGAACTCTCCTATGCGGCGGCAATTATCGCTTGAACAGCTGTTATCCCGGATACTAAAGATCCTCCCCCTCTCCCCTTGTTCCGATCGTTATCATAGTGGCTAACTGCGGTTTCTAAACAACCGGCCGGAGCCTACGACCCGCTAATAAATTCCGCAGTCTGAGTCCAATTTGCTTCGCGACTATATGACCTGCCAGACGATCACGATTTATGCCCGCTACTACAAAAGAAGTTTTTAATATATGAATTTCGAATTTCAATCACGCGATCCCACCCACGCGCGTATCAATTCAGTTTTACTGCCTCCGAGAACACGTACGGCTCTCGTTTCCGATAACATACAGTGCGCCTTAAGTACCCGATAAGCAAAAAATCAATTTCATACCGAACGCACGGATACGCGAAAGCTCGTTACATCCGAGAGGATTAATATTTATGACAACCGACAGACGAGTACCGTTCTATACAGGATTGTGATTAATTTCGAATCTCGTAATTTCTCATCGATGCCACGACGGGTCCAATCGTCGAGCATCGTTATGCCTCGGATCGGTCATTACTCATCTGCATCCGCGTTCGCTGATGTGAAATCGGTCTGTAGGTTAGCGGTACGCGACCGTATCGAGAGCGCGAGTGGAATTAGTCGCGGTTCGACGAGTGCCGGCCGCAGCGCGCGGGTCCTACCGCCACGAGGAAAGTTGAATTCGCGACGAATCAGGGTGAATCGACGCGAACGAAAGAGAAACATGAAAAAAGAAAACGAGAGGGTGTACGAGAGAGAGAGGCATGAAGCGTGGAACAGTCACATTCTCATTCACGGCGTGTCACACCGCGTGGGCGCGTTACCGGCCTGTCAGCGTAACGCCGCGGCGTCTGTCCGTGTTAACGAACAAACGTACGTATGCATGTACATGCCTGCGTACAGTCAGAGGACAGAGGCCGATGGGACGTGAATTTCCAAGGAAATAGACACGTAAATGGTCATCCTACTAATTATCAAATTTTCCTATTTCACATTTTCGACGTTTCGAACAAAGAGATTTGTCAAATTTTCAGATCTCATTAATCAGTATTTCGAGATTTACTTTTTGCACCTGCGTTCATTAGGTCGAACGTGGATGTACACTGAATACGCAATGACACGCATCTTTTCCCGTCTGCAGGATTCGTTCCCAGCCCTTGATTGGTTGCCTAGCCGGGTTCGTTCGTCGCGCGCGCAACGACAAAAACACAGCAACAAGAAATCCATCGGGCATCGCGGGAGATTCATTACGATACTCCACGAGATGTAATTTACGGCGTCGTTAACGAGCGAGGCGCGAGCTTAGGTGTCACGGGCCGCGTTCCTTGCCTTTCTCGCTTTTTGATCAACAATGAAAATGCCGGTGGTGGAAAGTAAATAAGTGAGCGTACGGGAGACGACGGGTAAAGATGAAGTCGACGGGAAAGAAGAGAAACTACCCACGCTCTTTTATCTCGGTGGCCCTTTGTATTAAAAGCCGCTGTCGCAACCGGTATGCGCCGCGCCGGCATCACCAAAGTCCACCTTGTCTTCCTGTCGATTCCTCGGTTTTTTTTTCTCTTCTCCTCTCCCTCGCCTCTTCCTCTGCGTTCTATCTTTCTTTAACCCTTTCACCGCGGCTAGACCGGTGAACCGCGTACCTAACATACGTAATTCGTTCTCCACGCGACGCTTATCGCCGCGCCGTACGTTGACTCCGAACCGTGAAATTCTACTACGAGAACTTTATTTCTCAAGCTTCTCCACCTTTCGCAGATCATATGCCATTTACTCATTAACCCATAGACATGTAAGAATAGACTAGGCAATGCAAACAGTCCGTAGAAGTGACAGAAGAAAAGAAAGAGAGCGACAACCGATACCGACGCTCGTTAGACAAGGACATAGAGGAAGGTCTATTGGTTGTCGTTCTCTTTCTTTCCTTCTGCAGCTTCTACTTACAGACTCGTCCAGGATCTATTTTTATATGTCTATGCAACAATCCTAATTGAATTCTGTCAGAACCGTAAAAGCTGAGTAAAAATGTATATACTCTATATGAGTTAACTTCATTCGAAAACGTGGATGTTCATTCACACGGTTCTCTGATCTGCATACCAGCGCTGGGCGGGAGATGGTACCGGGTAAGTGCGAAGGCATGCGATTGGCTCGGTTCCAACTTGTAGTTACCGCACGTCCAGCTGTCACGGTACGACAGTTACACTAGAATGCCACGTGACAGGATAAACGCGACCTTAACATTCACCGAAGGAAAACTGTACAATGGCTTGTTACACTTAAACGAGTCCACGGCCGAGTACGTAATAATGGAAACGCGATCGATCGTTGTCCTCTCTGACCACTTCTACCTGACGTCTGTTTACGGAAATCGCCTCGCAGCTGACCTGCCAGGCTGACTCGATTTCCTTCACGAAGAAATAGTTCTTCAAGAGTTTATCTGTGAACGTTTCACTGTATCCGGTTGAATTATAATGATGTCAAAATATGTAATTTGTCATAATGCAAGTGATTTCGTATGATTCTACCTCGTTAGTCTGTTACTTGAAAATTTGTGATAAATCTTATAAAATATGTTGGTGACGAGAGAAGCAGGAGAAACTAACAGTACATCGTTCTTGGTTTCAGAAATCGAAAGAAGTGTGCCGACATGTCGGCCTTGAGCGCCGGGCCCTGTCGACCCGGGATTATACTCTGTCTGGCTGTTCTACTCGCATCGCAATCCAATTCCGGTGAGTTTCCAAGCAAATCCGTCTGAGAAATTTCTTTTATAAAAGAGCCCATTCTCGTCTGCGAGACTTTTACCCCCACCCTCGTTTCGATATGAAGAGAAGGTCCAAAGGCGAATCTACGAAATTGAAGAAGGATTTAAACGAATTGTAATAAAAATAAATCTTCAGATCAGTTTTATCTTGTCTTGTTGATTATTGAAGGTTGTTAAGATCTCTCAAGCTAATCTTAGTTAAGATCGAAGACACAAGACTGAACACGGAAAAAATTGATCCTTCTCGACTTCTTTTTAAAACGGCTATGACTAACCCGGCCGATGTCTGAATGAATCGAGACGAGCTCGAAGTCAGGACGTCGAACCTATCTTCGCTCTCCTTCAACCAGTTGGATGGAAGAGAAAAGTCTTACCTCATAATGCTCACCTCTGGCACGTCGGGGTGGGGGGGGGGAGGGGGCATGGTGCTTTCCCATGGACCTGGCAGACCATATTCGTTCTCCGACGACACTTGGGTCGTCCCCGAGCACACGACTTCTCCATCACGAGCCACACTCGTCGTAAGTGCACGGGACCTCTTCCGTTTACGTCGAGCCGGTTTCGAATTACGCGGCTACATCGCGAGCCTTGCTCTCCGCGATCGGCCGACGATCGATCGAACCGACAGATTCGAATCGGTACCGATTAGTCATCCCCTAGACGCGACGCGGCGAGCGCGTCGGGAATCGGTTCCGAATTGGCGGCCGAGGGAGACCACTTTCACCTGCATCACCGGCGGGCGTTGCGTCACGCGAAACCCGAGGTCAAGTTCGTGGGAAACGACCGACCGACTGTTGCGCCAGCGAGCGAATTCATCCATCTTCCTCGCCTTGAACTTCGAACGGTCCCTGAAAATCGACCCTTTCTCTCTTCTTCGTTAAGTTCCAATCGCCCGGCCGGCAAAAATGTAGAATTAACGGTTCGTACCTGCCTCGGTCGAGCACATAAACATGATAGATTCGAGCGTCGTTTCACGTTTTGCGCCTTGAATTTCAAGCAATTCCTTCAAACGATGCATCTTTTTCATACACGTGTGAAATTAACGTTTCTTGCTTTGTACTCAATTTTCACAGACGTTTATGCGTTCGGACTCTGGACTCGATTCCGTATTCTCACGAATACCCATCGTCACGCCGATTCTTCTAATCGTTTGTTACCCGTTCGGTACAACTTCCGTTCGACGGCGAGAATATACGAAAGGTAATTGCTTCCTGGATCTTAGTCATCCTGTTTGCGATCTATCAATGCCAGGGATCGATCCTGTTTCCCCGGCGCGTGTTGCGCGCCGGTGGAATCATTCTCGGAATAGCGTGTTACCTCGAACGCGAGCGACGTGCAAAAACGTTGCATCGTCAATGAGCGCTCATTGCAGATGCATCGTTTTTACCGCGAGCCCCTCTCGGCCTCTGGCTTCATCCTCGCCACCGCCGACAATTGGCCGGTTCGGCGAATAGCAGGTGTAGACAAATGGCAGTGGAAGGGAAACCGATTGAATTCCACGAGCGCTTCCCCCCTCAGCGATTTCCAATCCCTTTTTTCGACTAGATCACTGGGTGATCCAACGCGGTTTTGTCGCCGCATTCGCGAGCCGTTTGCATTCGAAGAAAAGATCGATATCCTCGATATATCACGTCGAACGAGTCGCAAAAACCGTCACTTTCGAGTTTCCTCCGCAAATACCTCTTCCACTGGTCATGACAATTCCACGGGAAATGTTCCCGCCATTTACAAGGTGAGCCGGTAAAAAATATCATTTCATTACGTATCCTGACGAAACGTATTTTAATTCGTCAAAATACAAGGATAAATTACAGATCGCATCGTACGTTTTGATAAAATCATAAAACGTCAACTTGTTGGATACTTCTTACTGATTCAACCTATACATTCTTGAAGAAGAATCCAGATTGGCATGTAATTCATTGATCTCCCGGTCAGACGTTCGAAGTGAGAAAAAAGTTGAAGTTACGCAACGTGATTTCGAAATAGGGAAACGAACGCACGAGACGGAGGGGGGAAAAAATGCGTGTCGTTGGATACACAGCTGCACGAATAGCGGTTCCCGTACTTGCCAGCCTCCTGCATCCACGTGATGCTGTGTGTGAATTCTGGTCAAACCTGTAGACCCCAGAAGAGATGTCACTGACCGCGTACCTCACCGTTGCCCACTTACGGTCCACGTAAGAGTCGCACCTGACCTTCCTCTGCCGTTCCATATTTATGCCTTAATGCCACGGCCGAAGTGTCGTTATCTCACGAGCATCGTCGACCCGCTCGAGTCCACGTAATGGTCTATTATATCATTTCGTTCGCCAGAATTTCCCAAATACAAATTCGTTTAAGAAGGACGAAAAAAGAGAACAAATAACAGACTTATTTAGGAGAGATTGATACATTATTAATGAGTAAAGTAACGTAACGAGTCTCTCATTCTACAAATAAAATCGTTAAATCATCATCAAATTAATAAGTCGAAATCATTCCGCCATCATGTTTGTAGTAGCGCTGATTGCGAAGAAACGAGTCGTACACTGAAATTAATTTTTTTTTGCATTTACAGGTTGACAATCTATTTACGACCTAACAGTTCAGTCTAGATACGCCTTAATTAAAGTCTGTGTTCTCGAAGCTTGCACTTACGCTTGAACGCGTCTCGGAGTAAATAACACTATCACGGTTGAGCAAACACGGTTCAGTTCATTTGCGTTGCGGGGGTCTTCGGCACCTGTTAACCGACGTTATCTCGAAGATTAATTATCACGGCTCTCAGCTCGGGAGGCATCGCGGTCATTCCGAGTGTCGATGCTCGAACAAATTTGGAGTCACTTGAAATTCGGTACGCGCGAGGCAGCGGTAAAGCAAACGTAGCGGTCAACCGGCATTGACAAAAGGCGTATGTACACGGGGCTTGTTCAAACACTCCTGCATAATTAGTTGCTTTCCCTGACGCCTTATTTTTTCTCCACGGATTACGTAACCCGGCGCACGGTTGCCCCGACGACGACGGACGGTGGATCCGTTGACTCCTGAGAAAGAAAACGCGGCGATCTGAATTAAACATGCGGTGGTACGATTTGCATAACGATTCCTATTTTCTTTAGCACCGCTCAGAGATCTTGGAACAACATCGGGCAACGACGATTTCCACCTTCTATCGCGCCCAACAAACGTTTACCTTTCTCTACTCTATTTACGAACCGCGTCTCCCTTATCGTTTCGCCGTTTACGATCATCGTCACGGCCGAGAAAACATGCCTCGAGACGGAAGTGGCTTCTAAACGAGCTACACGAGTGACTTTGATTTCCGTTTCGCACAAAAATTCCACGTGTTTGAAGTATATTTTTCTTTCAACTAATACCGACTTTGCAAAGCTGCAAGTTCAAAAACTGAATGAATCACATTGCTGTTAAAATAGAATTTCATCTAGAATGGACGTAATCTGTCTCTGATCAGGAATCTCTATAAAAATTCCCCATCTTTTTCTGACGAGATTAAAGATGAGATCACCTGCCTTACGAAAGGATCACATGGTTCGTGGACTCCGGCCTCGTAACTGGTCCTCTGGTTCGAGAGGTTCCTTCGTTCCCGTGCTCTCTATATATTCATCCTCTTCCGTGGTATCTTCGCTACCTTTACCGAGGTGACGAGGTCAGCCGCGGTCATTCGACGAAGGGTATAACGGAACGCGTGGGTGCAACTTCGCTGTGACACGGATTAAATGATCGCATTAATCCCCTCGCGGGCATGAGACTGGAATTCGAATACTGTTCCCTCTAGAAAACGGTCCTCACGGTATCAAAGATGCGCCGCGCGATCTCGTGAACTCGCAGATTCAACCCTGTCCACTAACGAATAAAGTGACATAAACAAAATGAATAATTATCCTTTGGACAGAGAAATGAAACATGTAGTACGCAAATCAATTTAGCTAATTGATATGAAAACTGCGATGATTCTCGTCATCAATTGCAATTTGCAAAAGGTGCAGCAGTCGGTGGGTCGTTAAATGCTGCGACTGTGGGAAGTCTATGTCCAACGGTAGGACGGGCTCGTGTTAGTGATATCGGGAGGCCAGTTTGTACTTGTCACCGGCACTTACCCGCTCACCTGTCTTCGACCAGATCGTCTTTTTACAGCGATATCGAATGGTATAAACGGCAATGAACTCGATTGAAAATAGGAGATAATTTATGATTGTCCTCGAAACGAGCCGCGAGCGAGCGAACGGCTGGTCGCATATTACGACAGAACCGGTCGGCCGACTTTTCTCTCGACGCAACACTCGATACGTAGTACCAATGACATTGACATTCACCGCCGCGTTCGAGCATGAGTACGCGATACTTTCCGAGTCATTAAGAAAACCTTTAATTTCCACTCGGGTTTAACACCAGCGAACCGAACTCGTTCATCATCATTTGCCGCTCGTCGCGATTTATTGTCGCATCGGAGAAAGATGTCGCGTTAGTTAGTCGGTGCCCACCGCGACATTCAGACGATGCGAGATTCTAAATACCAGACAACGGACGAGTTAATCGAGTTCGAGCCGCGCCGGTAGAAACTGTAAATTATTAATCACGGTAATATAGTTGGCACGGCGCGACGCACCTGTTGGACGATCCTCCTTTGAATCCACGTTTTTCGCGTCTCCTTTATAGAGGACGTCCCGTTTAGCCGTTAGCTAATGGCGATTTTATCAATATCATGTTGCGTCTAATTACCCGGATATTAGCGCGTGTTTGATAAACGAGTTAGGTATCGGTCATTAATCAAACTCCATTAATCGAGAACTGGTAGGTTAATCAGTAAGTAATAGCTTGTCGTGACTTGGGAATTTATTAACCCTTCAACGGGAGGAATAGAGTTCGTCGGAGCTGATTTTTGTACACACGATTTCTAAGACGAAATAGTATACAAGAAACAGTATTTATGCATTTGGTACGGCGAAACGAGTCCACATAACTGGCATGTCGCGTGACCCGGATTCGGTTAATAAAAACTCGGTAATGTATTCGGTAAACTAGGTATTGAGCCAAAATTGGATAGATGAGATATTCAACCGTGAACTGAACTCCGCTCAGCCTGCTCTTTATTCAGCACAGGATCTGCCTATTGAACTTAATACTCAAAGCAGTACACGGCGTATTCAGTTATCTGAACTTCCAGCTGTACCTAGCTGAATGAAGTTGTACATGAAATTAATAACACATTCCTATACACGAATGACCACAAGTGGTACAATCTAATTAACCCCGAGTCATCTCGCGCCTCCATCTCTCACCGCTGAACACGTCACGCAACGACTTAATTTCCGAGCAACAGAGCAAACCACGAAGAACAACGTGGCCGTTTCCGAGCCCTTCCCTTGCGGCAGATGAATTCTAACCCTAATCGTGCTTTCCATCCGACCCAGCAAGGGATCGGGATTATTTCATCACGTTTTTCAACGCGAAGCAGGTTCATCGCGCTGCGGTTGCGGTTTCCAGCCTTAACCACGACCTTGGGAGACGCGTTCACCTTATATCCTAAACCTAACTATAATACCGATGAATAACGTGTTTAAAAAATATTGAAATAAACATTTTCGATGATAATTAAATTCGTTGCATGCTTCACAAAAACAAGTTAAATATTGAAATTAACTCATTTTGTAATGCAAGGACAAATATTTACTATAAATATAAAATGTGGTAATAATGTATTTGATCCTAGAAACGTTTAGCGGCACGTGATTATACAAGAGGCGTTGCGTGGAATTTCGTGCACGCGATACGCGCCGGGGAACAGGTGCTCGGCGGAGCGTGATGGTAATGAACTTTCGCGAAAGGCAAGGCCGTGCCGTGGATGACGATGATTTCATAACGCGCGTGCAATAGCCTCTCTCTCGCTGCTCCCGTTCTTCCCTTTCCTCCCCGGAACGCAGCAAACCGATCTCTCTTACACAATGAATTATTTTTAGACCGAATGCTTATCAGTGAATTCTCTTCTAATAAGACGAATTTCTATTCTCTGAATTACGGTATTTAATAGAAATGTAAACTGCGATCGCCACTGGACGACAATCCCGTTAGACAGATCGCCGGTTAGTTCCATTTTAATTCCGTCTCCTCTAAATCGATTAGAACCGCAGGAAAAACGGTCACGCTCTTTTTTCTAATCGCTTCGCGAAAATCGAGCGTAGAAGAAACTCGATGGCAAAGAAACCGGTCCGTTCGTGCGAGCGAACAAATCACTTATCGCGACGCGGACAAAAAGCTCCTTCTTCTCGCACCTGTCGCCATCAGACATTGTAACGGTTCTCCCTGGCGGAGCGTTCACCCTGGTAGCTATTCCTAGATCAAGTTCAATCGGACAAATCGCTCGGCAAATTCGAAATATCTCATTAGTACTTCACAATCGTCATAGCCTGACTACATCTAATTAAGAATAAAATATTATAACTGAATCGCGATGTATTTATAATGTCGATATGGCTGAGGAGTTGATTCACAGCTGACGAGTTCTAGGAAGCATTCGGAGGCCCATCGATCGGAAGTCGATCCCGAGAGCCCGGCTCCCGAGGCGCGAGGTTGAAATGCGCGGCGCGTGCGTTTCCGCGCGGTGCGTGGACATATTCGCGTGTTTCGACGCGCACGTCGGCGTCGCGTCGGGGCATATATTCGCGAATTAGCATTCCACGGCGATCCGCAGACGGCGAACAGGGGCGGCGGCGGTTTCCAGCGAATCGAATTGTACTGGGAAGCAACGGCGTGGCCCGTGAATGAAGGGACCTCTCCGTCCCACGAACCGGGTCCCACCAGCCGCGTTCCTCCACGTTCAAAACCGCAGGCCCCCGGGCACGTACCGCGTGTACATTGCTCTGCCGAGACGATTCTTGTCTTGCACGGTGCCTGTGCTAAATTATTGCGCCTCCCTGCCGGGCCACGAAGACAGCTGCCTCGGCTCGGCCCGAGGTGTCAGCGTGTCGCGCGTGATTACAATCGCGGATCGCTTTGTCATTCATTCAATGAGAAGACGACCGAGCGTACGACGAAATTCACGGCAGCTGACTGACTCTCACGTCATTCACGAGAAAACCGAATCATGCCTAATGCTAATTATCGTTCTCTACTTGGTACATCGTTAGCCAATGAACAACCTGTGTAAATCCCTTTTATGAATGACATAACTATTTTATAAGATTTTTTTTATAAAAAATGCGTTTGCATTTTTCCTTATTCGTTCTAAAGTTTGAATAAAAAAATTATTAAAATCTGATAGATCCTAATTTTTAAAACGAATAAGGCGGAACTATTGGCGAAGCATCTTCAGCGCCATGTAATAAATCTGCCAACTCGGTACGTTCAATGAAGGGATTATGCTGGACATTCGAATCCTTCGCCTCACGGTGCACGTATTCCGCGTACGGGAACGTTTTGTGCATTTCAAGAAGTTCCTGGACAGTTTTCACAGAAGAAACGTTCCGACTTTCCAAACGCGGATTACGTATAATTATAATAAAACAGAAAGTGTACAGTCACATGTTGAAATCCGTATCTGTAATCTACGATCTATCGCTTAAACTGCTTATTGTTACCTATTTTCAATTTTATAATATAATACCTAGTTCCATCCTATCGTTCAATTCCTTGTGTGCATCGGGTCGGAAATTGCAATAACGTGAAAGCAAAGAGTTGTGCTAGCTCGGGCGAAAGAGAATAGAGACGATCCTATCAGGGAACAGCGCGGCTTATTGTGCGAGTAAGAAAGAATGCCGGGGGGGTAGCGATTGTGTCGTCAGAAGGGTGCCGTTTCACGAACAATCGAACTCTCGAGTTCCCGTCGTCGCTTCAATTCCGAAGGAATTGCAGAAACGCTCCGCCGCGTAGTCGCAACGACAGAAAAGGAAAGACACGTGCATTTTTACCAGAGACGCAGCTAGGGATAAAGATAAACGGAGATGACGGAGAACGCGGCGGGGAAAGAGAAGAGAAGAGAAAAAAAGGGAATTCTGTATTCCCTGCGCACTCGGCATACAATTCGTTCGACTAGGGCGAGGGTGTTAACGAGAATTCGCCCACGTATGCGTTCGCGCCATATGACGCTTTGACTCACTCCGTTGTTAAACCAGACTCACCCTCCGGCGAACGCATCCCACTCGGTAATTACTATGATAAACTGCGTACGGAGACGACTCGTCTCTCTCGACGAATTTCATTGGAAACTAGAGTTCCTGAGATTACTTACCTCTTAGTACGATAACGCACGTCACAAGTAGTAAAACAATAATGCTTGTTACGTTCGAATCACATATGACGCAAAATCTTGCCATACTAAATTTCATTATAAGCCTGTTTTAATGAACTCTACGCCTACGGGGTCGTATAAAAACAGAGCTCGTAATTGGATTTATAATATACGCACATCAGTCACATAACTTAGAACTTGCTTTATTGTAAATCGGTCGTGATAATGAAACGTGCAATATTTTTTGTTACAGCACCCGTATACGAGCAAGGTACTACGCAAGTAGCTGAATACGATGGAGGTAAGCAAACGTGTTTTATTGCTAGCTAATCAATGTCCACACGTACTTACCTACATACGTGTGAATCGAGGCGTGAGTTTAATTGTATCGCCGTATCGGGCGGTTGGCACGTGCCGTTTTAACGATTCTTACACGGCAAGTCTTTCAATCGATCCTTTCGATGAATATTAAGAACCGTCTTGTCTTACTGTCATGCACGCTTCTGCTACTTTTATCCTGCATCGACTGTTGCATGCGCATTTATAAACTTTAATTAAATCGATTCAGTATCATTGAATACCTACTTGTAATCATTTAAGTATAATAAAAACATACATGAGTTCGAGGTTTGTAAAAGTTACAGATTATAAAGATTTTTTGAAAAATTAGGAATCAATAAAATTTCATATTAAATAAGTTAAGGAGAATTAGGTTTGTCGACGTTTAGCTAAACTGACAATGTTGTTCGTGTAAGCGTATACAAAACCGAGGAACACGTTTATTACTCGCAGCCTCGAGCGGATGCTACTACAACTACCAACACTACGACGAGGGAGACAGGATTATCACGAACGAGCCCTGCCTGAATTGCACGTGTCACAATCGGATGTTGATGTGCTACCTGAGGGTCTGTCCGTTCACGAAGGCGATCGGTCAGAATTGCACAGCGGAGAAACGTCCGGACCAGTGTTGCCCGGTTATCACTTGTCCGGAGGTGCCCGTGCAATTATTGACCTCGACCACTAGCTCGCCTGAGGGTCCCGGCACGGAGTTAGGTTTCCACGGCAGCTACGGTTGCAACGTTCACGGCCAATTCTACGCGGATGGCGCCCAATTGCCGATCGACCCCACCAACCCGTGCGAGTTATGCTACTGCATCAGGAACAAAACTACTTGCATCATGCAGGATTGCAACCTGAAGGTGGCCGGTTGCACGCCGATCTTCCAACCGGGTGTCTGTTTCCCGGTCAAATACAATTGCGGTAAGCCCAGATTATAACAAGTGAGCATTAAGTAAGAGATGCATGAAAAATTAATTATTTACATTATAAAAATAATCGTTCTTATTTGAAAACAACAACTGGTATGTTTTTACGATAAACGTAGATAGTTATTAATGTCTTCTTTAATTTTTATAGAATATGACGAAGATTTACTTACCACGACGGTTGCACCGAGTATTGGCCTGATTATGACCACAACGTTAGCACCAGGAGTATCGCCGCAGTGTTCTCACGAGGGGAAGAACTATAACGACGGTGACTTATTGTATTCAACGGAACCCTGCCACCATTGCTATTGCTTCGGTGGTAACATTACTTGTGTCGTCGAGGATTGCGGAGCGCCGATGGAGATGCACGGAAAGAACTGCACCGCGTTGCCACCTCCGCAAGGAGAGTGTTGCCCGACCACGTATCAGTGTGGTAAGAAAAATAGTCTCGTCTTGTCAGAACTTAATTGAATTATAATAGATTTAAGAAAGAATTTATATCGCATAAGTTGTTGAATTACTTATACAAAACAAAGTATAATGTAAATATTTTTTTGTTACACAGACGATGGTGGTCACGAAGAATTGGTAACGTTACCAAAGGGCGAGGAACAGGTTACCGAAGGATACGTCCTTGAGACGACGGTATCCAGTGTAACGGAAGCCGAGAAAGCAATCACTCAAACTGAGAAACCGGAAGAATCTTTCCCAGGTGACGACAACGTTATTCCGGAAGACCATAAGCACATAAGCACCGAAGCACCCGTCCAAACCGCATCGTCTACGAAAGAACCAACAGAGGAGACGTCACCGGAAGTTCCCGCTGGTCCAGAATCTACAATTGCTCCGAAGGAAACTGGAATTTCGGAAGAGCCTGCGACAGAACCTGCACAGAAAGTAACAGAACTTCCTGGAGAGACACCGGAGGTTGTAGAGGCGACTACTAAGCCAGAAGAAGAAATCGTTAAAAAGGTCACTGAAACGTCTCCGGTTATCCCAGAAGCGACTTCGCCGAAATTGGAGGCAACACCTGAGACGGAAGTTACAGAAGGAAAGATGGAACCAGCGGTTACTACAGAGACAGTCTCAGAGGAAACGCAAACCGAGGGTGAACCTCAGCAAACGAAAAAGCCTGAGATACTGATTGGAGAAGGAATAACACCACCGGAAGAGATCGTTACAGAACGAGAACCAAGTTTCACTGAATTACCTAAGGAAGTGCAATCAACCGAGGAAGCCGGCGAGCCAACACAATTACCGGAACTTCCGATCGAAGGAACTAAAGAGACGGGAACGTCGTTGACTCCCGAAGAAGTAACTACGATCAGAAGTGAGGAGGCAACGGAAGCAAGCAAAGCAGCTGAAACTCCAGCGATTGTTTCAGAACCCGAAGAGAAACCGACGACAGTCGGTATCGAGAAGGAAACCGCGGCACCGGAAACAGAAATGACTACTGAGAAACCTGGTGAAGAAGTATCGAGCACGAAACTCCCTGAAGCGGAGAAGAAACAACCAGAAGGCATCAGCACAGAAGTAGAGCCCACTGGTATCCCTGAAGAACAAACGACGACGTCTCTGCCGAAAGCTTCTACGGAATTGCCTAGCGCAGCTCCCAAGAAGGAAGACACGACTGTTCCTTCAGTGCCAAGCAAAGAACCGGAAGCAGAAGGGGAGACTCCTGAAATACCTGAGGAAGGTCCTACAGGCATTCCAATTACGGAACGCGTACCGGAAAAGAAAGCAGAGGACACGGTAACGGAAGGTGAAGTCTATGGTACCACTACGTATCTACCTCCGAAGCACGAGACGACGATTTCTGGAATGGTACCGAGTGAAGAGGGAATTACGCCTGAATTACCGAAAGAAGAACTACCTTCTTCCACGTTGACAACTCCAGAAGGAGAAAGAGGTGTAGAGCTGCCTTCAAGTACCGAGGCTAGCGAGACAACGGTTGAACAAAAGGAAGCAACAGAAGTTGTGCCTGAGCAAACCGAACAACCGAGCTTGCCTGAGGTTACCCTGGCGTCGACATATAAAACTCCGACAGCAATGGAAGAAATGCCGGCTAAAGGATTAACTATCGCAGACTCCGGAGAGACCTCGTCTGAAGAAATTACCGAACAAACTTCCAAAAAGGAATCGACCGAATCCGAAGAATCGTCAGAAGCAACCCGAGCCCCGGCTGAGGTACCTGTGACTCCGGAAGGTGTTACGGAGAAACCGGCTGAAGAACAGACTAAGGAAATCGAAAAAACGACAGAAGCTGCTGTTCCGTCGACGGAAGTTCCGCCGCAAGAAGAAAAGGAAGTTACCCCAGCTCCGGAAGAGAAACCTGCTACCGAAGAAGAGAAACAAGCCACGGTAGCACCGGAGGAAGCTGTGCCAAGTGAAAAGCCTGATATCAGTTCGGAAGCGCCTGAAGAACAAGTCACTGAGAAACCAATTATTGAGGAAGGAGTTAGTACTGAAGAAGCACCAGGTATACAAACTAAAGGCACCGAGGCACCGATTGAAGAAGCTTCGAAAGAGCCGACTGTCCCGAAGGCAGAAGCACCTGTTATCGAAACGACTGAAAAACCAGGTCCGGTCGAGGAAATGCAAACAACAGCAGGAGCAATGGAAGAAAGAAGAACGGAAACACCAGAATACACGGAACAGCCTTCTGTCGAACCGACGGAGGTATCGGTACCTAAAGAGGTATCTACCGAAGGAGCTGAAGAAGAACAGAAAAAGGAACCACCGATAAAGGAAGAACTTCCATCTGAGGGACCATCGACAGAGGAAGCGGTCAGTGAAACTGGAGCGCAGAAGGAAATAACTGAAGCTCCATTGGAGGAATACACACCAACGAAACCAGCGACTGAGCGCAAGGAGGATGAAGGAATAGCTACAGAGAAACCGCTTGAAGGTGGTGAAGGAGTAGCTACGGAGGGGCCGCTTCAAGAAGGTGAGGGTGTTCAGAAGCCATCTCTTGAAGAAGAGAAGCCAACTGAGAAACCTGTAGAAGAAGGGGAAGCGACTGCGGGTCCGATAGAGGGTGAGGAAGCAACCGAAAAGCCGATCGAAGAAAAACCTGCGACGGAAGGACCTATCGAAGAGAAACCTGCGACGGAAGGACCTATCGAAGAGAAACCTGCGACGGAAGGACCTATCGAAGAGAAACCTGCGACAGAAGGACCTATCGAAGAGAAACCTGCGACGGAAGGACCTATCGAAGAGAAACCTGCGACGGAAGGACCTATCGAGGAAACACCTGCCACGGAAGGTCCTATCGAAGAGAAACCTGCGACGGAAGGTCCTATCGAAGAGAAACCTGCAACGCAAGGACTTATTGAAGAAGAAACAACTGTTACAGCGGAGAAACCAACTGAAAAACCGACAGAAGAACGTGTAACAGAAGGAGCTATTGAGGAGACAAAACCTACTGAGGGAGAAAAGGCAGTCGAAGAAGGAAAACCATCTGAGGGTGAAGAAGGAAAAATAGCAGAAGAAAAACCAACGGAAGGTCCGATTGAAGAAGAGAAACCAACGGAAGGACCGATTGAGGAAGAGAAACCAACGGAAGGACCGATTGAGGAAGAAAAACCATCGGAAAGGCCTGTAGAAGAAGGAATGCCTACTGAATTACCTACGGAAAGAGAACCAACTGGAAAACCTGTTGAAGGTGAAGAACCCGTTGAAGAGCAGAAACTAACTGAATCACCGATGGAAGAAGAAAAAGAACAATCTACCGAGGGACAGAAACCGACTGAGTTACCAACGGAAGAAGAAAAACCAGCAGGAGGATTTATAGAGGCAGGAGTACCATCCGAAGAAGAAAAACCCGAAGAGGGACAGGCAACTGAGAAACCAATTCTAGAAGAGGAAAAAACTGAGCAACCAAGTGAAGGACATCCCGAAGAGGAACGACCAACTGAAGGACCCGTCGAGAAAGCTACCTACGGGCCTGGTGAGACACAGGAACCAATCGAAGGTCCAAGTGAAGCAGAGAAACCAACTGAAGAACCTGCTGAAGGAGAGAAAGTAACTGAAGGACCCGTTACAGAAGAAAAACCAACTGAAGAAACCGTTGAAGAGAAACCAAGTACACCAGAAGTAATAATACCTGTAGAAATTTCTACGGAAAGTCCAAAGGTCGAAGAGAAGCCGTCCGAAACTGTATCTACTAAGTTACCTGAAGAAGTATCCGAAGTATCGACCGCAATTCCAGAAGAAATTCCAGAGGCTACAACCACTGCCGAAGTTCAACCGGAAAAGACAACTGCAACACCAATTTCTGCAGAACCCTCTACGGAACCTACTAAACAAGTCCCAGAACAGCCGGTCGAAGAAGAAAAGTTCCCAACAACTGTACAACCGGAATCGCCAACTGTAGGATCGACTGTATCTGTTCCGAGCGAGGAAACGACTGAAAGTAAAATACCCGAGGAAGGCGTCACCACTTTGAAAACCGAAGTTTCACCGACTGAAGCTCCAGTTGCGAAGACGACCGTACCTAGTGGCGAAATGGCAGCACCGGAAGAGGAACAAAAAGTTTCCACTCCCGAAGAGGCTGAAACTAAAGCTCCAGCGAAGGAAGAAGTTACCGAAACTCCCCAAGAGAAAGTTCCGGAAACTCCAATTATGGAAGGACAGACTGAAAAAGAAATTCCAGCAACTACACCAGAGACATTGCCGAAAGTTACTGTTGAAGGTGTTGAACAATCTACGATCACCGAAAAAATTCCTGAGGAAGAAACAATATCGACACAGCCTACTCATCTTCCACCAACGATTCCAGGGGAAGGAAACTGTCTCGTCGAGGGGCAAACTTACGGCAATAATTCTGACGTGCCTCCTGTCAATCCTTGCCAGCTACGATGTCGCTGCATCAGTAGTATCATCGAATGTGAATCGATGGAGTGTCCACCGCCTCCGACCGAATTACCTAATTGCATGCCAGTTTACATTGGAAAAGATACTTGCTGCCCGGTATACACTTGCGAACATACGTCTCACATGCCGGGACTGGAATCCGGCAGTCATATGATCGAGAAGGAGACGCCCAAGCAACCGACGACGACCGAAGCTGTTGAAACTAAAGAACCTTCGACGATCGTACCGCCAGAAGTGAAAGTACCAAGTGAAGAAGAAGAGGCAACACAAGTGACACAAAAACCAGAGCTTGCGCAAACTACCGTCAGCGAAATCGCTAAAGAAGAACAGACTGCTAAACCAGTGGTGCCGGTAGAGACGTCTAGTCAAATTCCTCAAGAGGAAACGAAGGAACCTTTGCCGGAAGCACCAAGCACTGTGGCCGAAGAAGTAACAAAGATTCCGACTCCTGCGCAGACACCTGAAGTACCTCCTGAGGAACTGCCATCGAGTCCAACCGTTGGTGAAGAACAACCTAGTGCAACGACAGAGACGGTCCAAGAACAAACTTCAGTTGCAGTTGAGACGGAAGGTCCTGCTACCATGAAACCAATATATATACCACCTGAAGAAACGAAGGAACCTGCAGAAGTTACACAAGCCCCAATCTCAGAGGAAGGCAAAGAAGCAGAAACTCCAAGCTCTTCTGTAATGCCGGAAGTATCAGAACCGGTGAGTGAAACCGAGAAACCATTAGAAGAAGTAACCACTCCGGGCGTGTCAGTAACACTGCCTGGAGAAGGAAAGAAAGAAACGCCTGCAGAGGCAGAAATTACCAAGCCGCCCGAAGAGGCAGAAACAACCAAACCCGCAGAAGCAGAAACCTCCAAACCCGCAGAGGAAGAAACCGCCAAACCCGAAGAACAAACTACAGAAAGTGAATTACAGACTGCGAAACCCAGTGAAGCAGAGACCGAAAGGCCATCTCCGATTACGGAAACGTCAGCTGCAGCAGAAGGAATTGAAACCTCGACTAGTAAAGAAAAGGAAGTTATCCCAGTGGAAGAAGAAACTGTTCAACCGAGCGAAGGTGTAACACCTGGAATAGAAGAAACAAAAGTTCCTTCAAGAACTCCAATCGAGGGAATGACGCATCCCATAAATACCGGAACGACAGAGATTTCCGCAGCAAAAACGGAAGCGCCTGTGACCGAAGGAATGAAACCTATGAAAGAACCAGAAGAACAACAGACTGTATCACCTGAAACTGAACAATCACCGTTGCCTACTACTGCGGAAGGCGAAACCAAAGAAATTGAAACTGAACCGACTGGAGTTATTGTAAAAGAATCTACGACGGAACCGTCAGCAATTTCGGAACAGTTACCAGAGAAATTACCTGAGGAACAGGTACCAAGTTCTACTGAAGCTGCCGAAATAAGCACTGAGCAAACATCGAAACCTACTGAAATAAAGGAAGGAATTACGGAAGAACAACCAACGGTCAAACCCGAGGAAGAAATTCCACAAACTACCCCAGAGGCGGAACGACCAGAAGTAACTCCGTCGGTAGAAGAAGAAACTCCAGCGTTGGCCTCGTCAACTGAAAAGGAAGCCACACCGTCTGTTTCCGAGGAGACGATTACAGAAGCAACGCCCGAAGGTACTCCGATTTCACCTTCTGAAGGAACTCAGCAAACTGTAAGCGTGGGAGAAAAAGAAACAGGCTCCACGGAAGCAGCTACGGAGAGACCTGAAGAGAAACCAGCGACTGAAAAGGAAACCACGGTTCCTGCTGAATTACCAGAAACTACAATGGAGCATGAAATTCCGGAAGGAGTCACTGAAAAGCAGGAAACGGTAGCACCAGGAATTGAAGAAGAAATTACGGTACGTGTGCCTGTGGCAGGAGAGGAGAAACCAGAGGAGGAAGTTCAGAAACCGAGCATGGAAGAGGCTGTCTCGTCTCCAGAGCCAGCCAGAACACCTGCTCCCGAGGAAGCTACAATTCCAGTTGAAATATCTTCGCCGACTGCAGAAGTTACCTACACCGAAGGCGCATCACTTCCGTCCGAGGAAGTGACCGAAGAACCGAAGCCTATAACTGAAGTCGAAGGTGAAGAGAAAGCGACAACTGTACCTAGTGAAATAAGCCCAGTACCCGAAGAGCAACCTTCTGTGACTGAAAAGAAACCCGAGGAGGAAGTTCCGGAAGTGACACAAGCACCAATTGTCGAGGAAGAGACTGGAAAACCGATCCAAGAAGAGAAAGGAGCGACCGAAGAACCGACAACTCCAGCTGCAGAAGTTGAAAAGACAACAGAAAGTGCTCCTAAGACATCTGAGGCTGGGTCAACGGAGAGACCAAAGGAGGAAGAGGTATTCGTACCAGAGAAGGCAGCTACAACCGAGGCAGCTGAATATCCAACTGAAGCTCCTGAGAAACCGATGACCGAAGAAGTTCCTGAGAAAGAAATTTCAACTGGAGCACCAGAGGAAGTCGGTACAAAAGTGACAGAAATTCCGGAAAAAACTGAAGCGCCAGAAAAAGAAGAACCTACAGAAATTCCAGTAATTATCGTTCCTGAAGAAGAGAAGCCTGGTGAAATAACAGAGAAGGTTCCTGAAGAAGAGAAGCCTGGTGAAATAACAGAGAAGATTCCTGAAGAAGAGAAACCTGCTGAAGTAACAGAAAAGATTCCTGAAGGAGAGAAACCTGCTGAAACGACAGAGGAGATTCCTAAAGAAGAGAAACCTGCTGAAACGACAGAGAAGGTTCCTGAAGAAGAGAAGTCTGGTGTAACATTAGGAAAGGTTCCAGAAGAGAAGCAACCTGCAACAACGGAAGAGATTGCTCCTGAAGGACAAGAGCCAACGGAGAAAGTTATTCCAGAGGAAGAAATTACGGAGAAGACTGTTCCAGAAGAGAAGGAACCTTCCGAAGTGCAAACAGCCGTTCCTGAAGAAGAAATCTCTCAGACTACAGAAGGCATTTTGATAAAGGAGCAAACTACAGAAAGAACTGAGACTCCTCAAATTAAAGAAAAGACGACTGAATCTCCAATCACTGTCGAAGAGGAATTGCCTAAAGCAACTACAGCAGCAGCTGAAGCCGAAGAAACCAGTCCTGAAGAAGAATTGCCTCCGGTGACTTCACAAGAGACTGTGACCGAAGAACAGGAAGCTACAACAAAACAGCCGGAACCTCAGCCGGAAGGTCCAGTGGAAGCTTCTACAGAACGAGAAGTAGAACAGCCAGAAATCGTAACAGTTCCTGAAGAACAGCCGACGGAACAACCTCAAGAAAAGACTACTCCGCAACCAACGTTCACCAAAGAGGAGGAAGAGGGAAAACCTGAGGAAGGTGAGCAGCAAGTGACCGAAGGACCTGCCGAACTACCAGTCACGAAGATCTCAGCGCCTGCGACAGAAGAAGCGCCCCTCCACCCGATAAGCGAAGAGGCAGGCACTACCATCGACAGCGGATTACCGGAATTCGGTCTCACAACAGAAAAAGAAGAGCTGCCCGAGGCTCAATATCCAGTTGATATCGACTCGCAATTCCCACCTCTGAACCATTCATACGAGCAGCGACCCATGGAACCCGGTTACTACGAACGACCGAGTACCGAAACACCTCCTCAGATATCCGACTTCCCCGGCCAGGAAGACCTTCCCATCCCCGGCGAGCCGGGCGAGGATTACGACGACGATCAGACCATCTACGGGCCGGGTACCTGCCGATACGGCGGCAAGGTTTATGTGTCTGCACAACAGATACCACGGGACGATCCTTGCGACTTCTGCTTCTGCTTCAGGAGCGACATAATCTGTCTTCAACAGAGCTGTCCGCCGCCGATCCCGGGCTGTCACGAGGAACCGATCAGCGGTTTCTGTTGCCCGCGTTACGAGTGCCCGGTGTCGATGGCCACGTCGCTGAACATCACCACAACGACGACCACGACCACGACCACGTTGCCGCCGCATTTCAACGCGAAGGCGTACAAGGGTGCCGCGAGACGAAGCGGCTGCTTCATCCGCGGAAAGGCGTACCGCGTCGGCGAACCCATCAGGTCCGCGTCCGGACCTTGTCTTCAGTGCATGTAAGTTCTTCAAACATTACCCAACTAAATCCATATTCTTTCTCTATTGTGTATTAAATGATTCATTTATTTTCTGTTGTCTCCCTCGACGAAAACGATCTACTAATCGAACAACGATTTGGTGATTTCAGTTGCGGTGGCGACGGTAACATGAAGTGTGATCCACAATTTTGTAGCCCGGAACCGATGCTGAGGCAAATGATCGCGGCGGCGGCGACGCGGAGGAGAAGATGAGCCGGCCAACGCACGATCCCCGGGATCCGTCGATAAAACGTAAAACGCAAGGGCAAATCGAGTTCTGGAGCTGGATCAGTGTTGTATAAAAGTGAATTTAAAAATGAAAAAAAGAGAATATTCTATTCTAAACTATGTTGAAATGTCGCGGAACACGGACTACTACGTAATGTGTGCTTCGGCGACCACGAACTGAGTGGCCAAAACCCGCGTAAACGTTTATATTAATAATATTATATTATGTTATATAAAAGAAAGAATGAGATACAGGGAGAGAAAGAGAGGGAGAGAGAGAGATTAAGAGAGCGAGAGCGATTAAGGCGCACGTGTAAAAGGGAAGAGACTTAAGAATGGGGTTGGAGAAGATACGTTTCTGGTGCCAAACGGAGATAAGCAAACAGACGTAGCGGAGAGAATGTATTCGTGATAGGGTACCACGTCTAACGCCATTTTTTTACCGATAAAAAAACGATGGTTACGGGGAAGAAGGAAAAAAAATGCAAAAAAAAGTTGCTGAACGTACGAGACTTATGACTGTGCCTTCGTCGGTGCCGACAACAACGGCGCTAAAACTTTCGTTCCGACTGTGTGGATCATCGTCGTAGTAACCTCTCAGTCCCCGGGGAATCGTAAATTAGAAACTAAACGTGGTGATGGGAATTGCAAACGATGGAAACGTTCTAAAACAGCGCGATGAAAATGAAGAAGATTGAAGCAGGAACCGAATGCAAAACCTTAGCGTTCGCGGCACGATTTCTTGTACAGTGACGTTGCAACAGCAATGGGGGCCGTATACGAGAGAGAACCGCGAGAACTTTGTCAACGATAGTGACAAATTTCTTAATCATTTTGTAACGAGAAGTCACGCCGGTTTCTCTCGTATCGGTCGCCACGATAAGAGCAGAAGCCGCCAGATAAAGCAAATTGCTCTTGCAGTATCACTGTAAAAATTCGCACGACGATGATCCACGGCAATCACGTAACACGATCGCGATAGATCTTGATCGTTTCACAGCTGACATGCGCCGTGCGCTTACGATCAGTCCACGTTCGATCACGTCTCCTGACGTTCACGCGTGCTCGAATACGATCGCGAGACGAGAGTTAGCCGCAAACAACGACTAACAGCGGGCAACTGCGTATTTCTCGATACGTACGTCTGATCTACGTCTTCCTGTAATGCGCGACCGTGACGCGTTCGCGAAATTCCTCAATCGTTATCGCGCTCGACACGTGCGTTCCTGATCGTATTCGAACGCGCGCGTATCTATGTCCGTGTGCGTGCGTGCGTGTGTATGCATTATACATGTGAATTTGAAAATTGAACAAAAATATGGGGAAGAGAAGAGAATGAAGGAAGAAAGACAAGACGAAAGGTACGCGTATCTCAAAGCTCAAACAGCGGCTCGCGCGGAGGACCGACCGCGAATTTGCTTCTCCGGCGAGCTGGCGTCATTATAAATATATATAAATATATAAATATAAATAATATACATTTATACGATTCTTTATACACACTGTACCCTCCTAAAAAAATAATAATAATACTTAACGATGTTCTATACGTTTGTACGAAAGTATATATTAATTATTATTATTATTATTATAATTATATGGTCGCGTTCTTCGTTCTCTAGTCTCAAAGTGTTGCAGAATAGTAATCTACAGGAAAAATCGTATTCGTCTTTCTCTTCAATTAGAATTTGATACACATCTACTATATCTTTTGCTGAGCCATGTGCATGGAGAACGAGCGAGTTCATTTCAGAATCGCCGTCTTAACTGTCACTTAATCGTTCTGTACTACTCCGCAATTTGGAGTTTCTCATATTTCTTACAATTTGTGAAAAATTGCAATAGTTACCTCATACAATTTAACTATTATTTTAACGTGCTATGGATAATTTTTATCCAGAAAGTAAATATTCAAAGGACTTTTAACTCATAATTTTAACAATTGAATATTCGTCGCACAAATGCTTTGAGACTTCTGAGAGAACTTGGGGCTGTTTTAGGTGTAATAAAATAGGAAACGAACGCTATCGTCGTCGCACAAGTATTGCGCACACTGTCTTTTGTAATTTATAACAATGGATCAAACGATGCACGACCACGGGTGTCGAGAGTTCTGTCTTCCTCCGGACATCGGCGATCCTCCTCTTTTGTACGCGTTTACTATATTAATTTAGCTCGTCCTGGAGCAGGACGTTCAGTCGCGAGAGTGATTTCTACATAAGGCAAACGAGACAAGTATAATAATAGAATGAATTAACAACCACATCGTAACCATAGTGCTTCCATGGCAACTCGATCGTGATAGAAGTGGCCATATTTATTACCGTCACTATCCTCGATGAAGAATGTCTTTAAATTAACAGGTTGATAATAAAATTGATACATTGAAAATATTTATGTTCTTCGTTTTATCAAAACTTTTTATCTGCAGTATGCCATTTGATGGGAAACATGAAGGGTTGAGGTTGAACACAGTTCTAACATGTGTCTCATTTCTTGCTTTCAGACATAAAATAATAGACAGATCTCATTTAAAGTAATATTAGATTATATTAGATAAATGAAACAAATTCCTAGCCACTGCCTGTACATCGAAACGGTCGGGAAGCCACAAATTGTATCCAAGGAACATTTGTTACAATCATCTTTTAAAAGAACCTTGTGTGAAAAATGCGATCAGTGATACTTCTTTTAAATGAAATTCCTATAGCTTTCAACTCGCCAATTAGCGCAGAACTTATTGAAAGTATAAGGTTCGCGTTCGCGCCTGAGCCGAATTAAGTACTTACGGGCGATCGAACCGGATCACTGTGAACTAATTTCGATTCTAGTAAGTTAGTCGAGCCTAGTATTTATCTCGATATCCGCTCACGCCGAAAGCAACGAGCGTTGCGATTTGTACGTTTATTACTGACACAGAAGTAATGTGTAACTCTTAACAATTAAGATACCTATATGTTAATAATATGATGAACACGTAGGATGCATGTAATTAATTAATTGATTGTTCGATTGATTAATTAACGACTGCCCCATGCTCGGCGTTGGTAAAATGCCCCATTTACGCAAAGTCGTGTTCTTTACCAACGATACATGCCGAATCACGCGCAACTTTATACATATTATACATATATATATATAAAACACATATAGATAAATATAAAATGCATGATATTTATGCACAGAATGACCAATTTTTATCTGGTGCCAATAATCTACGAGCGCGAAATTTCTCGCGACGCGTCCTCCGATAGAATTAAAAATAAGACAACGGAAGCTGAGTGCGTGTGGGATTAAAATTGATCATACTGTGAATATAGCGAGACGAATAAAAGACGCCGCTCAGTACGCGAATATACTCAAATACGATCGTGATCTTTCATTTTCTTTTCTTTTTCTCCCATTTTATATCCGATTTCTTTTAACGACCGCTACGACTACAGCGAAAAACGATCATCCTTACGCTCAGCATACTCTGTTAATTGTTTTCCCTTCTCCTCTTTTGCCGCGTATACAATATAATATGTGATACATAAAAAGGTGAGCGAGCCGTGGGTGCCCTGGGCGGGTGCCCGACTGTATGGAATTAGAATAGTTTTTTGACAGTACGTGCTAGTATAAAGTGTCCTTTTATATGAATAAACGATTTTGTATATCACAAACAGTGACCCGATTCTCATTTCCTTTTATTGATTTTGGAGAGATTGAAAGATAGGTGAATGTTCTAAATGGTGATACAATGTGCATACAATTGCAATGGGAATATATAGTATCGTTATAGTCCAGCAAATACGGCGCGATTTCCTCTCAATTGTCGTTCAACTGCTTCAGCAAATTGTCTTTGTGAATGAACTCTAAATAGACAAAACAGTTTTATTACGATGAAAATAAAATTATCAGTAGGGAAATGAATACAAACGTCCAGACGGGTACTGAAATCCGGGGCAATCACTGTATGGATTTATTAAATTGCAGTTACAAGTATAAGAGAACGTTCCACTTCAAAATATAAATGTTCTTATCTTAAGAATGACTTTCTCAAAGGGGGAGCTTATCGCGCGCAATTTACATAATTCTAATTATTATAATTAATATCGGAAATTATATAAGTATGAATACTTTAGATAACATATTTGAATTTCTATTCTTAATCTATAATATATTAGTCATGTTCCAAGTCGTAAAAAATATGAAGAAGACGCAATTTACTGATTACGAATAACATCAGACATTTTACTGTCAATCAGATAAAATTCATTACCATGTATCGTGGCTTCAAAAATGCACTTTATTACTAACATTTAATGTATATAACAGAGTTGTTCCTAAAATGTTCTATTAATAAAGAATTTGTCAAAGATAATCAAATAGTGCGTGTTTCGTTGAATGCAAATGGTTCCAGATTTGACAAATCGAACTTTATTAACAAACTGCTAAATTATAGGGGAAATTTTGTTCTCGTCAAAGTCAATTGTACTCCAAAAATTCTTGTGACCAAAATTGTAACGTGTCTCCATACTTACGTTCGTCGGACTGGTTAGACGGAGGAATTGAATTCTCTTTTTATTGGGATCAAATGGTTGCCACTTAACGCCATTAATGCGTGGTTTACTGAAACGTAAAAGGTATCTACTGTAAACTCGTGGTAAATAAAATAATTACCTGAACACTGGTGACAGATACTACTTATTTACCCTTGAGTAGCGTATGACGAAAACATGTTCAACATTATTCGCCGTACTTTTATGTCGTTCGGATCCGTCATGTTTCCCAACGTGTTCATCAAAAGATGCATATCGTCGCCGTGACATACGCCTAATAACAATTCCAACGAATTAAATCACAATTTATTAATTTACTATAATATATTGTTCCAACGAATCGTAGAACGATGTTACCCAAGTGTCTAGTGGAACCACTGATCGCATCGGCGAAACTGTGGGTGGCCCTGTAATTGTAATAAAGAGTCCACACCGGGCTTTTATTCCTTCCCGCGTGCAGTCGAGCAGCTTTCTCATATTGTATATCAAACAATCTGTTGCCAATCATTTCTATCAACGGCCTTAAGTTCGAATCGCTGCCATTAATCTCGTTTGATCCCAGATAATGTCTTCGAATCTTTTGCGCCACCGAACTCTGCTGAGAACGCGGTATGGATGAGTAAAAACTCAACAAATATGGAGCAATGATTGTCCAATTATCGTTCAATTGCTTTAGCATCGTGTTGTTCTCGTAAAACTCTGCACAGATCATATTTTATGGTTACTATAATATAACGGTATGTCTTATAATTGTTGGGGATAAGATAGTATACAAACGTGAAGCGGTATACAACCCCTCTTCACTAACAACGCTAAGAATCAAAGGAACATCGTAGGCCTCGCCTCTGTAGATGATATCAACTGGGGAACGAGAAATAAACGCGTTAGGTCCAGGTGTCTCGATGACGGGTGCAAACGGTATGGGCGGAGTATTGCCCCAAATCTGCAATTTATTACAGTACAACACACGAATAATCTCACTCTCTCTAATAAACTTAATCGATTATCTTCATCATCAATATAATTATAGTATGACAATTCAAATTAACTGGTTATAATAATTAATCGCAAGTTATAATCGATATTAATTAACATTGTTTAAATATTACAAAAGAGAATAAGAGAAATCACCATAATAGCGGTCGTTGCTTCGGACAAAACGCGCGGTGGGACTTGGCGTAAACACGTGACTAATTGAGTTGAATTGTCTGTCGGACACCTCAAATAAGCTCCCAACTTCCTAGCTGTCGCAGAGGGGTTCCTGTCCATTATATGAGGGGCGAATGCTAAGCCACTTCCCGCTGCACCTCCTATTAAATGTATAATTAAATAATAATACCTAGTAAAAATAATCGAATTGCAATCCTCCTCCCTAACAAGTAACTCAAAATTCCTGCCATATTTTCAATCAAACGGAAGATCTTAAAGGCCAACATTTACTTACTTTGGAAAAGACCAGCGCTAAGAGGTGATAAGTAGTGGTAATGAACGGAAACAGCTCCCGCACTAAAACCAAAAATAGTTACACTCTTAGGATTACCACCAAAGCTTCTGATATTTTTCTGGACCCAACGAAGAACCATGTTCTGGTCCTTCAGTCCCATGTTACCAGGAACGACACTGTCTCCCGTGCTAAGGAAACCTTAAATGAATATTTATACAATTATAAGTAATTTTAATACTATACCAGTTTTGCACACGCTTCTTACCGTGCGGTCCTAGTCGATGATTGAACGTCACTATTATTATGTTACGAACCGGAAAAACATTCGGATGTACAGTGTCTCCGTCACCAAATTGAAGGGCTCCCCCAAAAATCCAAATCATCACTGGCAACAAGCTGTCGCTGTTATTTTTAACTGGTACGTACAGATTCAAATATAAGCAATCCTCGCAGCCGCTGACTTTGTCCGGCTTGCGTGAAGTGACTTCGAATTGCGTACACGGGGAACCCAATTTCGTGGCTTGCAATTCGTATTCGTATCTTTTAATCGGTTGCGGTGGCTAAAAAGATTTGATTAGAAATACCTTTTGAGAGACTTCCATTATTCTTAATTAAGAACCACGGAGTTTACGCATTTATAAAAAGTATCGTACGTATGACATACAATCAATGCATGTAATCTACAAGAGTATGCATAAATGCACGTTATTAGTTTCCAGGACTAAAAGAAATTTAATTTTGATTCCATTTAATTAATTGCCATTGCAATAGTTTCAGTTTCTCATAAAAATCCACCGTCTAATTTTCATAATACTGATCAACATACTTCGAATCGGAGCCTTCCGACGGGCGGTTGTGCGTAGGGAATGCCCAGAAAAGTGTCATATTTATTTCCATACTGATCTGGTATACGGCGACCACTTATACGACCTAAAGGCGTTTGAACTTTCACAACTTCTGTATCATGGCACGATACACTCGTAAATAAAAGGAGCAACGCGATTGACAGACTCTTCGCATTCATTTTAACACTAATGGGCAAGCCAAACCGGTAGTTAACTTTTATTGTCCTCGTGGGAATTTAAGACGTGCATTTGTATAAACTGAACAAACGGTGACGTAGTTTGACAAGCATCTTAGTAATTCAATGACGACAACAAGTTGACAAGGGCTGTCTAAATTCTAACTGATATACTTAGTCAAATCTGACAATACATATATACATAATGTAAAATATTATTCATGAACATTATAAATATTATTATTGTTCGTATTTAATGGGCAGAGCAAGTATTGAAGATTATTGTGCGAAGTGTTAGGTTTGATGTTGTTAAGAAAATATTATTTAATAATATTAATTTGCATCTACCTCAAACCGAAAACAATTTGTACTCATTCTTTCTTTCCATTTCTTTGTAATCATTCGCTCCAGTCAAACATTTTCATAATCATTTAATCGAAACTGATAACAAATTGTATACAGGAAAACATACACCACATAAAAGTCATCTAAATACAAACATACATTGGATTAAAAAATAATCAACGGTGTAAAAGATTCCAGGTAGTATACTTCAATTTTAATAAATGTCCTTGTCTCAGCATGATAATATGCAAACGAAGAATGACCAGCAGAAGAGAGAATTTTAAATGCTAATTATCTTACAAAACGCAAAACTTTTCAAATTAGTGGAATTTACCGCAATATATTTTTTTATGTTTGAACGCTTTTTTTTAATTTCTTAAATTATTAATGAATGGTAAGGAAAATATTGACCCATTATTAATTTCTTATCAAATTATATTTATTCAACATATGTACAGACATGTTAGACATTCTTATAATTGAAAATGTTGAGATGATAAAAATTTTAGTAACGGAGTATTAAGTTGTGGGGGAAATTTTATTTTCATCGAAATTAATTGTTTTCCAAAAGTTTTTGTGTCCAACATTGCTACGAGTGTCCATACTTATGTTTCTCAGGCCAGATATACGGAGATATTGAAATTTCTTTTTATTGGGATCAAGTGGCTGCCACTTAACGCCAGTAATGCGTGGTTTACTGAAAAGCAAGAAGTAGCTACTGGAAACTTGTAATAAGTAGTATAATTATCTGGATATTTAAGAATTATCTTATTTGTTTACCCATGAATAGCGAATGATAAATAAATATCATATAATATTTTCCGCATTTTATTATCGTCTGATTTCACTGTGCTAGACCAAAGGAGAAAATCATCACCGTGGCAAACGCCTAATACCAACAAATTAAAGTACGATTCATCATTTGACTACAATTTATTGTTCTAACTAATCGTAAAAAAATGTTACCCATATTTCTAGTGGAACCGCCACTATAATATTCACTCATACTATGGTTGGCCCTGTAATTGTAGTACAGAGTCCACACCGGACTTTTGTTCCTTTTCGCTTGCAGTCGAGCAGCTTTTTCAAAACCCAGAACAAAAATTCGGTCAGAAATCATAGATATCAACGGTCTCAAGCTCGAATCGGTGTTATCAATTTTGTTTGATCCCAAAAAATATCTGCGAATTTTTTGAGCCACCGACCGCTGTTGAGAAAGCGGTATAGTGTCATTAAAATCTAACAAGAATGGGGAAATATTTGTCCAATTCTCGTCCAATTGCTCCAGCAGTTTGTCGTCATTGAAAAACACTGCAGATGTAATTTTTATCGTTACTATGATATCTTGTAAATAACTATATGTTATAATGGTGTACAAACTTGAAACGGCAAACAACCCCTCTTCACTGACAACGCTAGTCATCCAAGGAACATCGTAGGCCTTGCCACTGTTGATAATGTCGATCGGAGGACGAGATATAAACGCGTTAGGTCCAGGTATCTCGACGACGGGTCCGAACGGAACGATTGGTGCGGTTAGCCACACCTGTAATTTTTTATTGGGTAACAGAAAATGAACTGAATGTACTTAGGCACTTAACTGTATCATCACAAAGATAATTAAAATTAAGTATGTGCAATAATTATTTGCTACTCATAATCGATACTGTCCAATATTGTCTACAAATTACAAAAACAGACTATCACCATAAAGTTGTCCGTAGCTTCGGATAATCTTCGCGATGATACTTGTCGTAGACAACTGATCATTTGAGTTGAATTGCTTGTCGGACATCCCAAGGAAGCTCCCAACTCCTTAGCTTTCGCAGGAGCATTTTTTGTTAATGATGTAGGGCTGAGTACCACGCCACTTGCCGATATACCTCCTGTTACATAAGCAAATAAACAATAATGCAGTAAAAGCAAACGAATTCCCATTCGCCTTCTCGGCAAGATACTTTAAAATCTTGTCGTTCTTTAATAAAACTTTAAAATTATTCTATATACATTCTTAAAAATACACATTAATTTACTTTGGAAAAGACCAGCGCTAAGGGCCGATAAATAATGATAATGTATGCTGATACCACCCGAACTAAAACCAATAAGAGTTATGTTCTTAGGGTTCCCACCAAAGCTTCTGATATTTTTATAGACCCAACGCATAGCCATGTTTTGATCTTTCAGTCCCATGTTACCTGGTACAACGCTGTCTCCCGTGCTAAGGAAACCTTAAATGGACACTTACACGTTCAAAACTTATTCTAATATTTTATGTCTGTCGCTCATTTTTCTTACCGAACAGCCCTAATCGATAATTCAACGTTACCAATATTACGTCAAAATTTAAGAAACTATCCACGTCTTCGAGGTCTCCTTTACCCGATTGAAAACGTCCTCCATGAATCCAAATCAACACTGGCAACTGGGTTTTGCTGTTATTCTTAACTGGTACGTAGACATTCAAATACAAACAATCCTCGCAACCAGAGACTTTCTCTGGTATACGCAACGTGGAATCGTATTGCACGCAAGAATATCCCCCTTTCGTCGCTTGTAGCTCGTATTCCCATTTTTCTATCGGTTGAGGTGGCTAAAAAGACCTGATTAGATATATCTGAGCAGCCTCAGTTATTCTTAGACTATTAGACTGTGGTTTTTATCTTTTCGAGAATTCCGAACACTTTCGAGAATTTCAACATAGTCAAAATTTCATTCATATTCGAAAATCCCTCACGCACTTGATGATCTTGATGTTTTCGAAGAATTCCGAAATTTTTTAACACCCCGTCCGGTTCGAACCGCCCCGATTATCGGGTTCTCAACATTTTCGAATTCTCGGATATTTCGAACAAAAAAGTATTACTATTTCCAGAATAAAAGAAATCTGAATTTTCATTTCATCTTTTAAATTCACATCAGTGAAGTTTTATTTCGCATAAAAGTCCGTCGTCTAATTTTAATAATACCGATCAACGTACTTCGAATCGTAGCTTTCCGACGGGTGGTTGCGCGTAGGGAATACCCATAAATACATCGTATTCTTTTCCATACAGATTAATTATACGATAACCACTTATACGACCTAAGGGCGTTTGAACCTTTACAATCTTTTTACCATGACACGATAGACTCGTGAATAAAAGGAATAACACGGTTGATAGAGTCTTCGCGTTCATTTTGATACTAATAGGTGAGTCAAATCGGTAGTTAATTTTATAACGCTCTTGTCACGATTTAAAATATGCATTTGTATAAATTGAACAAGCGATGACATGTTTTGATAGGAGATCATGGACAAATTGATAACGAGTCTGTTGACGATATGTGTAATCAAATCTAGCAATACATACATATGTATTAGGGTGAACCAAAAGTTCGTGCGTTTCTTTTGTCGTTTCAGTTTGTACAATTTTTTGACGTCAATAAAGATACTTTATATATAAGTGTCATATATCATTTTGTAGCTTTTTCGAAAATTTCGAAAATCGAGTACTTTTATATCATTACAGGAAGCAAGAGTTTAAAGCTACTGAGGCGGCAAAAAAGATATGTGAAATGGAAGGAACAGAGGTCGTCTCGTGTTTATCCGCTGTTATTATCCACTCTGTTTTACCAAATTAAGGATTGAAAGGAGAAAAATACAATTTTATTCGTAATTATTCGCTTTATTCAAATATTTAACTGAGCAATCTCGAATGACAGTCTTGCGTTAAGTTTTATTAATTGGATGGATGAAAACGGGCATACATCAAACTAATTTTGAATAAAATCTGAAGAAAGAACGAATCTTTGAAGAAAATTTATAACAAACAACAATCCAGATGATATACTTCACTTTTAATAAACTTTAATGTATTCCTTACTGCGTGATATGTATTACATGAAAAATGAAAGACAAAAGCACGGATTTAAAACGCTGTACTACAATAGGAAAATTTCTGATTTAATTTTTGTCAAAAAATGAATGAAAAAAGCGGAGTCTAAAGTCTAAAACGGAGTGATCGGAGTATTCTATTCTTCCGCTTCCTGATAATCCTGATCCCTACTCCTTATTCCCTAGATTAAGGAGAGGTTATTGCCAACTGTTTGGCTGTGCAGCGACAGTGCTGCCTACATCACCCATACTAGTGCTACACCTTGCGGCCAATTCGGGAGGAGGGTCCACAATAGCGTATACCAGAACCTTTTTAGCAGAGATCTACTCTACTCACATTTTCTTCGATCGAAGATTTGATCGAGCTAAAGTTTATAACGATTAACATTATACATATCA